AAATTAAAATATTCCATTGCATTCGACATAATTCAATTGTACATTACAAATCCAGTTTATTCAATATCCGAGCCAAACAACTGTTTAGCTTCAGAGCGATTCAGTTCACTCAATGAAACGATGATTCGAAAACATTTCTATATTGTAAATAATGCTACTTAATGCGGTGACATTCACCTAGATGAACGTGCAATAATAATAATAATAATAATAATAATAATAATAATAATAATAATAATAATAATAATAATAATAATAATAATAATAATAATAATAATAATAATAATAATAACAATAATAATAATAATAATAATAATAATAATAATAATAATAATAATAATAATAATAATAATAATAATAATAATAATAATAATAATAATAATAATAATAATAATAATAATAATAATAATAATAATAATAATAATAATAATAATAATAATAATGCAATTCAATCAAATGATTTAATATTACAGTTTTTCCATTTTCTGCATTTTGCTCTATGAAATCATGCGGTATTCAACGTGTTAACTCTTTGAACTCTGTAGGCTCCAATATTGTACCAGTTGTAATATAAAATATTTTAATGAATCAAAGAAACTACCCTAAAATTATTAGATTTTCTACACATCTAAATTTTCTACTGAGAAGGAACATAAAAGATCGAAGGAATGTTATAGCATTTTTCAATTTCACTAGAGATACCATAAAAGTTAGTTGCAGTTGCTGATAAATTACAAAACCATCTGGAGTGCTAAGCGTTAACCGTGTTACACAGGAGTTTTCTGTATATCCTTTCCTACACTCGTTTAGTCTGCGAGATATGAGTCTCTAATATGGAGATGCCCGCAGGTAGGACCCTCACGCAGCAGATTCTCTCTCCACGACCCGTTGTCGGAGGTGGCCGCGTTCCGCGGGAAGCCTTCGTGTTTCGAACGAAGCTCCGGTTACGTCGGAAGCGTATCCAGGCGGACAGGTTCACGCGTATTCTTGAGAAAATGCAACGTGCAAATTGTTCATCGCATCGTCAGCAACGTTGGCCTTGAATGAAACTTTACCCGAATGATAACGACGAATATAGAATTGAGTTACTCATTAACCAAATCAGTGAACTCCACGAAAGAAAAAGTAGGAAACGGTAATGCAATAGCTGTGCACTGACTTTCGAAATTTCTGTTTAAATGGGAAATTGAATACTCATTATAGAACGTACTTCACTTAACCCTTTGCACTCGAGGGCTCCGGAGCAGAGCCATTTAAAATTTGTCATTACAAACTGTAAAATTTTGTCATTAATTATATTATAATATTTATAATCGATGAAAGACAGTAGAATACATCTATGACTTTCCTTTTCGTGTCTGTATCATTTATTTATATGTTAATATGCTTTCTCTATTAAAATTACATCTAGTTGCTGGTAATGTCAGTGAGAAAAAGCTTCGAATGCAAAGGTTTAATTGTTACAGGTGTGGCTTTAATCTGAAGAATATATGAAATGTGTAAGATAGCGTAACTTTGGAGCAATTTTTATTATTACTGCAAGTTCTGCATTGGCAATAGAACTTTTGTTGTTTTGTGGTATCGCACTCGATGATAAGGAAATTCATTTTAAATAGGAAGAGTCAAAAGTCAATGAAGTGTTCTAACGATAAAATCTTAAGGACAATTAATTGTTACTCGAGTTATTCGTTATTCCTATTATTTATTTGTCTGAGGTATCTTTAATTTTTAATTATCGATTGTTTCATCGTTAATTCAAGTTATTTTTTCGCATTTTCAAATTCGGTTAATTGCAAGGCTATGTCATTTACGTTATGTTAAAATAACGAATTAAAAAATATGAATGAATTTAATTTTGTTATTATTAATGAATGATGAATATATTAATGATGAATATATTCGCAAATAACGGTCAGGTTAATCGTCAACATTATGTGGACAATAATATCTCTATTATACAATATCATATACCTAAACAGTATACAATACACAAGGTGTTCCATTCTAATCTATACATTCAATTACCTCCAGAACTGTTTACTGTTTAAAACTCGCCTCAAACGTATTTTTTCTATTATTATGACTTTTCGGCATAGACAGGTTACGAATGACCCGTTTCATTCATTAAAATTGCATTATTACCGTACATTCTAAAATATAAATCGATTAAAATCTCAGAATAATGCATTCTTGTAATGTATATAAGAAGATTTGATTACTAGGCAATTCCAGTATTAATTTCGAAGAGTTGAGGCAACGTAAATAAATTTTATCGAATATTTCTGTACGTCCCATTCAGCGTGATACGATACATTTCAGAGAAGATACTCATGGTCCGCGAAGATCGTTTGCCGGCAATGGTCGGAAAAGGATCCCAAGCTCTGGAATTTATTATTACATAGTCTGCACATAACTGTTCTAGCTCGTTTGGTAATATCACGTTTGTTTTTTTATGCATTATGCAATTATGCATCGGGAAGTCGATGTCCCTCCTACTCTTACAATACTGGGATATTCTTTTTCGTACAAGGAAACCCCTTTCCTCCGGAGAAACTTAGCCCCTTCGACACCAGATATTTTCTTTAGCCACATCGTAAGGTTTCTTACATCTACCCTAAACCCTTTTAACGGCAAAAGAATCACACAATTCACACTTGTTTCTTCGCATTCGCTGCCGCGTACGTTTATATTGAATGGAAATTTTAAATGCCGTTACTCGAACATGATACCATTTTCTATTTGTCGTCCATTTGGTAAGAGGATACATGAAAAGGGATAGATACTTAACAAATAAATTACCTGAAATTATTAGATATTATTTAAATTGTGAATTTAAGAAGAAACTTTCAGATTTACCTCATTAGTCAGTTCACATAATTCGATATTTTTATTTAATGATTAACCGAATGAGGGTACCTATAAGTGAGTACAGGTGTTCCTGTTTATTATAAATAAATCACAGTTCGATAAAGCACTTGTTTATTAATGTGTAACAAACGTACGATTATATTTTGTCAAGCGTACATCATAATTACATACAGAAACAATATTCAATTCACCTTGAAAAATTAAGATAAAGAAAACTGTTTTTAGTATAACATATATTCTCCTTCATCAATTATAGATTAAGTAAGGGGAACATATTTTAAATTGAAAGAGCTTTCTTTATGTTAATGTTTAAAATAAACAGAATTGTAGAGAAACTGCATTATCTATGGGATAATCCAATAATTATCCAGTGTCTATTAGCCAATGTATAATATATTCATGTATTAGTTATAATATTATAAATTACCAATATAAATTAGTTATATTCATCGATTAAAAGTATGTAAATTATCAAAGAAACTACTTTTTTTATCGCCATTAAATCCACAGTGTAGAGTTCTTGACCTTTTCGTACGAGTTTTTCCATTTTCATTCAGTTGTACAATAAATAATACAATAACCAATATTTATTAATATTATTTTCATTGCGTATAAATCACAATTAACCGCGAGGAAAGTAAAAATCTGTAAATTACGGTTTATGATTACGCAGAGTAACGGTATTCGTGTCTAACGAGTGTAAAAAAGATATACACTGTCGGTCAAAAGTTTGGATACGTCAGTTAGAAGAAAAACTTGCCATTTCTGGTAAGCAACTTTTATTGGAGAATTTCTGTGCCTGATAAAGTAACACGCGCATATGTGTATTAATCAAATATAAAGATATACAATTTTTAACCAGTTAAATGCGTTCGACAAGTACACACGACATTCTAAAGTTTAAAACGATACTAATTCCTTCAACGATTCTTTATTTCTTCAGATAAACATGTAATTCTTCTTTGTTTTCCTTTAGTTCTTCATTAAAATATTCACGCTTCATTTTCTTATGTTATTGCACGCAAGACGAAAGATTTCTCGAAGTAAATCCCACAATTAGGTTAATTTATCGCGTTACATATTAAATGGTTCGAAACTTTTCACCGGCAACAACGTGTAATGGATATCCATTTTCCCATCAAGACCTACCTCTCACGGTCGAAGTTCCACTACACTTCGTTTTCCAATTTGTACCTATGTCCACGAAAACGGATGTCGACGAAAAACGAAATAGATAATGGATAAACAGCCGTTGCTTCCGGTGCGCCGGCAGGGCGCTGTAAATTTTTAGTCGGACCTGTTTTCGCACAAACGCCGTCGGCGATGCATCAACGGAAACAGTGTTTGTCACGAAACCGATGACTTCCTTCCGCAATTTGTTTTACATTCGTAACAATGCTGCCCATTTCTCCAATAGCCTATAGGCACAATGCTCCGAAATCACAATAACACGCACGGTTCGTCCTAATTGCTCCGGAAGTTGAATTTCTCTCTCTTTTTATTAATTGAATTTAACCCTTTGAGCGCTGAGAACTCCCAGCTGAAATAAAATGAACGTAATACTTTTGTCTATTTACAAGGGAACCTTTTCAATCAGCGCATTTTGATGAAACGTATGTGAAACATAGTTCTCAAGAAAATATTCGAAACGTATTTTTTCTTATCGGCCAGTATCCAGTTTGAAGGGGTGAAAACACCCCTGAAATTTCAGGGCTAAAAGTATAGTTTCTAGAATATCTCTGAAACTAGTGGATGTAGAGAAATTTTTGTTTCAAATTGTTCACCTCGAAATGAACAATTTAAATTTCTTTTATATGTATTTAGATTTCATTAGATATTTAGAGTTTATATATTTAGATTTTATACATTTTGATTTCTTTACATGTTTAGAATTTATTTTGGAAGTATTCTTTAGAAAATTTTTTAGAAAATATTCTGTAAATATTCTATACTTGTAAAACAATTAGCTAGAGTGTAATCATTTCCCGAGAATTCGTCGCATTTCATGAGACAACAAGTCTGTTCGTACGTTGTAGCAGTTCTGTCACTGTCGAAACCTGGAAAAACGCTTTCCTTCCCAAGCATCGTTTTGCCCAACCTTTTCTTTTCCTTATTCTTATTCCTACGCTTACCTCAAGGCTTCGTGCAGGCCAAACCAATGTTACTTCGTACATTTGGCAACCAGATCTGTACGAGTCCGCAAACTTTCGTCCGCTAAACTGAACGGTGAACTGGCTGTAAGAAAGTCCCGCAGAAAATACTGCAGAAGCAAAGAAAGAAAAGCTGTTTGAAATCTGCTCGAAAGGTGTGTCAGCATTGTGCATTGTGAAGAAAACGCGATAAAAGCAATACTTGCAATCTCTGAAGAAATTCAATTGTTTTCGTTAGGTTATTTCATTACTGAATTCATGAAACCTTGATAAAATCTCGATTGTTTAGTCTAATCAATGAAACATCCAACAAATCTTCTAAATAAAAATTGAAGAAATTAAACCAAAAATAGTTATTGAATTCCTAAATATACACATATTTATAACTCTTGATTAGTGCGAATAATAAATTCCAGAAATCGATCCCGTTATTCGAATTTACATTATTTGAATATTTGAAATATAAGAATTGGTTATAATTTAAAGAAACGTGTACAACTAAACATTTTTAAATATACCTTGTCATGTATATTTGATTAATTTATAATAATTTATAACAATGAATATGTATATTATTTTACAAAGCGTTTTTTTTTAACTTGGATTGCACTTTTCTTAGCTTTTTCTTTACTTTTTCTTATGTTTATACATCTAAGGATAAACTCGCAGTATTTTGTCGAATAATTTATAATTTTTATGACAAGTATAGCAACGCATCTTATTGATCTTCCGCGCGCTTCCAATACGGAAGCATACTCGCCGGTATGCGGCATCCGCAATGTCGCATCGGAGAGAAAAGCAGAAGAATGGAAAGGAAATGCAAATTGTACGAGTTTAAGCTGTTATTATGTAAATCAGATTTCCGAATATATCCATCGACGTAACTACAGTTAACCGCTGGATTACAATAGTAAATTCAAATTGAATTTATTTTAAATTCTTCGAATTATCAATCACTATGTGAAATACTTTTAGTTTTCATTTGGTTATAGAAACAAGTGTAACAATGTCAGGCGTTTCTATTTAATTATCAACTTACCTAAATTAGATAAGATTAAACAATAACTAACATAAAATTAAATTCAAATTCAAATTCAAATTCAAATTAAATTTATAATAATTTATACTAGATTTTTAAATTAAATTTAAATTTGAATTTGAATTTGAATTTGAAAGTGTTTTTATCTGTTTTAGAACTGTGGTCCTGCGAAAAAATAAATATTACAGAAGCAATACAAGCTTCTGATTTCTCAGAAATAAATATTGAATTTACCAGAACATAGCAGGTTATTTATGATACTCTTAATATATGCATAATGTATATTGGATTCTGAATACTGAATACTAAATGTGAGTTCTGTATGTTAATCGCTAAATATTTGACACGAGACGCTGGATGGTAGTTACACTTACCCATTATGCATAACTGTAATACTTCAGGAATGTATTACATTCTAGATATGGAAGTATAAATTCATTGACTTGTATTTATTTTTACAATACTGTCTCAGCAACGATGTCATTATTGTCCTTAGGTCAGGCCATTTTCGTTAATGCTTTTATTACGCTGTTCATATAATAATTTTCAGTATAATTTTCAATATAATTCACAAATCTTATATAGGCAGACTATGATTTGCTTTTCATATACATATGTCACTAGATATTTAAATTTTATCGAAAAATCCTAATTCTTCTCCTGGATTTTTCTCTGATTGATATTAACACCAGGACTACCGTACCAATCATAACGATTAGTTTCAATTTACTTCGCAATTATTGATATCTTAAAAGCATTGAATATTCAAAATGATTGGAAAAATAAATAGTTTCACTTGAATACTATAACCAATGCCTGAAGAAACTGAAAATAATCTATGGTATCGATTTTTATAGGAATTACGTATCAATTATATTAAATGCTCAATAGTTCTAGTGTTAAATTTTTGAAAAACCACCAAACGATTTCCCCTCCGTTGTCCCTAATAGCCCAAGAGGTTGCCGCGATATAAAATAACCGATAAAGAAGAAGGAAGATGACGAAGAAGAGGATGAAAAAGGAGAATGTTGGTTCGCTGGTGAACGGCGACTACCGGCTTCTTCCACTGTTGAGCGAAAGTTCAGCGAAGCGAACCGAGGGTACACGAAGCGCGTAGGAATAATCACGTGCAGGACAAACAGACCTCTGGCTCCATCTACCATACCCTTCGTATTCAAACACGTGCATACCTATTCGAACGTTCCAAACATCTAACCTTGAAACCATGTCCACGTTATTTTTAACACATTGCGTACCGGCTAATTATCAGAAAATTAAATTGTACGGATTTTCAGTGAGATCCACTTATATTACTATCTATAAAAAAAACTTTGGTATCATATTATTATGTAATATATTTTAAATGGACAATTAGTTCTAATCAAATTTAATGTTTCTTTAAATGCTGTGGTAATTATCAAAGTTATATAGCTAACAGTCTTTATATAAAAATGAGATTTCTCGTTACCAGTACGTAATGTGTTAACATTGTTTGTTTATAGTATTTTACAGTTGGAATATACATGGTGTCTCCAATAAACAGACTGGCTAACGATACGTCAGACTTTTCCTAATAGCATCACTATAAGCTTATTTAGACACTTCATCTATTTAACTTGAAGAGAAGGATGGCACCTGTGGATCTTAACTATTCTTATCGATACGATTTATTTAAGTAAACTAATTGGGAAATGTAAGGTTATAGAGGATGTAAGAAAAAATGGATCAACTTGTGAACTATGTTTACGTGTAAATGTATCAATAATTAATCAGTTAAGAGTATAAGGACAGCATGTTAACACTGAAACTATGAAGCAGTTAGAGTGATTTATTTCCAATTTTTGTATGAAAATTATAATAGGTTTCTTGAGATTTGAAAGGTCTTCTAGTTTTGTATCTGTACAGATCCACAAATTAAATGAAAAATCTTTCGTAAAAACATCTTCATAATTTAAATACTTGCAAAATAAAAATTCTGAAGTGGGTCAATTTGACCTGTCCGGTAGTTTTAGTGTTAAATAAATATAAATATGAATATAAATATAAATGCAAAAATTAACTGTGCTTATATTCTTAACCATAGTTATTGGTATATTTACCTGACGTTTCCAAAGAACCAGCAACATTCCCCATAAATGGTGCTTCAGATCCCCTTCGCCCAATTTGGTGACACAAACGTCAATAGTTCAGGCACGAGTTTCACTTCTGCAAAGATACTCCGTACCTATAGTTTAAAGCCTAAATAGCGCATCGAAGTAGCAGTGACGCGTTGTATCTCTCGAGACCCATGGTTAGGTAACACTGGTTAAAGTCGTTTTCTCCGAAGACCTCGACAGGTTACGTCGCATTCCCTCATCCCATAATGAACAACAGTAGAACGTCGATTATACGACTTTCGACTATCCAAATGTTTAATTAGAAAGTTGTTTAAAAGTTTAATTCAATTAACCCTTTGAACTCTGTAGGCTCCAATATTGCACCAGTTATAATATTAAATATTTTAATGAATCTTAAAGAAACTACTCTAATATTATTAGATTTTCCACGCATCCAAATTTTGAACTGAGAAGGAAAATAGAAGATCGAAAAAATATAGCATTTCTCATTTTCGCTAGGGATACTGTAAAAATTAGTTGCAGTTGCTGATAGATTACAGAACCACCTGGAGTGCTAAGGGTTAAAAAGTTAATGTGATTTTAAAAAGTTTCGTTTAAAAGGTCATTTAGATTTAAAAAGTTTAATGTAAAAATTCCTTTCGATTTAAAAAGATTCATTTAAAAGTTAACCATTTGAAAAACTTGAGGTTTTAAAAAAAACGTGTTTCCATAGCATTCGGAGTAAAACGATCTCAAAGTTGAAAGGAATTGTATCAAAAATTCGACAAGACATTCCATTTCGTTTTTTTCTCTCTCACTGATCCGTTCATTTCTATGTGTATACACGCGAGACTTGTGAAATAGAAACGAACCGACTTAAATAGAAGAAAATGTTCTGCTCTGTTGACACAACTTTCCACGAACTTGTTCCAAAGGCAAACTTCCTCCTTATCGCAGCTACGAACGTGATACCACACCTTTCGCGTTATCGATTGATCGCAGGACTCAATAAAGCCGCATCCATACCACCTTGGCCCAACGGATATGGAGGCCATGTGGCTTTTCCTAATATCTTTTCAAGCCAGTAATCAGAGGGTAGCTAATCCACTCCATTCAATGGAAATAATGAATAATACCTTGACTGCCACGTCATTCGAATTCGATTGACACCATTCTTTACGTAAACTGAAACGATTATTCTCTTGGCGACGTATCAAACCAACCGAGTTTTGTTGGATGTGTTAGATATAAGAAGAATAGTAGAATAATCGTTGTGAAGAATCTGGAGTTTTTAGTATCTGCTTCATTAATCTCTTGCCCTACAATGTCGTGTCAGACTCATGGAGAAGGTTCCTATTTGTTTAACAATTATAAATGTCATTCAGTTTTTCTGAGTACAAATGAAATATTTTTCTTGTTTTTCTAATTAGTATGGTCTAGAGTAAATCTAGACATCGAGGGAGCATGGAATTTTTTACTTTACTAACATTAACGAGAAATAGTTCTAATTAGTGCGACTGCGAGATTAAATCGTAGAGCAAGGGGGCAAGGAAACTGTTTCGATTACATAGGAGTTTCGATGAGTGTTTATTTGTCAGATTTCGAAAATCGAACGTCTTTTCTATTTTTTTTATTTTCCAAGAATTTTTATTATTTCTCCAGTAGAACATTTGGCAAATACAATTAGTATGATCAGAACAAATTTTACAAATTTGCGAATTCTTTTTTATTTAACAGATATTTATTAGATAAATCTAATAATCTCGGTTTCGACGTATACGATTTATTTTCTATCACTTTATTTGATTCTCTATTACCTCTTCTGCAACTTATTCCATTATATTGAGTAGTGCCGCGATTAGTTTATGTTTCGTAGTGGAGCACTCTGAAAAATAGATTTTATGCATTTGAAACGTTTCTTAAGTAACGAATAGTACTGAAAATAATTGAATTTATACATTAAAATACACCCTCCGTATTCTACGTTTAGATATTTTATTTTTGGCAATAAATAGCATTGTTATATTATTTACTGTTGCCTTTTTAAATCATTTTCTCAGCTTTTATACCGTTGTCAGTATGGTATATTTGTTTATCTGTCACTTTCGATCCCTAGACTGCCGGATAACCGGAATTTGAGTGTACTAGGAAATGCTTTTAACTTTATTAAAAGTGCCATTCCTTTAAAAGCGAACTTCCATAAGATTAACTAGAGATATCGATCCGGCGGTAAGTGATTTTCTGTAAGTGGAAACGTCACGTTTCACTTGAAGAATCCTTCAAATTTCTATCAGATCTACTTCCTGTATTATAAAACATTACTGCATACTAACTTTTAGAGGACTGGCAACTTCTTGTTTGATTACGTTGAAAAGAGGACGTGGAAACAAAGATTCTTGATTCATAAAAGGGAAACTTCACCCTAAAACTACCAAACGAGTTAAAATGGCCCATTCCTGATTTCTTCTTTTCGGAATTATTACAATAACGGACGTTTCTCTAAGAAATTATTCAAGACATTGTTCAAGAGTCAATTAGAGTCTCGATAGACGCACTCTTGGAGTTTCTATAGGGAAATTCCAAAAAGTCAATTCATCTGCTTGGTTTTAGCGTTAACTAAAAACCTGTAGGTTCGTTGGGACAGAGATTCGAGAACCTATGACTCTGCCAACAGCGCTACCGACACTGTTACGTTACGGTCGTGTATTTAACACATTGATGACCGGTAATTTCACGCAGAAGCTGTTCCATGTTACCGGTTATTATTTTGTAATTAAATATGGAAGTGATACAATCTAAATAAACTTCAATATACTTCATTTATACATAATGAATTGAAATGAAACTTTGGTCATATCTTTTATATAGCTTCGAATATTTCGCTATTGCAACATTCTACATTGTTCTGCGTTTAAAAAATTGAAATAGCTAATGCCAGTGTAAACACGAGTTAACTCGCGATCGGTCAACAACGTTTGGGCATGAAAACACGAGTTAACTCGTAACTGATCAACAATGTATTAAGTATCTCCGGAAATGAAAGAGACATGTTTCCCTTGAACGTTTATTTTCGTGTAATTTTATATTTCATTTAATCACTGCAAGATTTCAGATTATAAGTTTTCGATTGAATTAACGTGCCGGCTTCGCGATGTAGCGTTCAACGTGTGCGGTGTGTTATACAGCAAAGCCACCCTTTTATGATCAGAGCTATGTGCTTGGGACTTGCTACAAGTGGAAATCTTCCCATAATCCTCATTCGGACACCATCCTTAAGATTATTCTTCAAAATCTTGGAATATTTTATATTTAACAAGTTTACCGTCGATAAACATTAAATTTCCTATGGCATTAGCTACCGTATAGTCTTCGATAATAACGGAGCCTTCTGCATGTTTTACTGTCCGATATAAATTCTGTACTTTTAATTCTATATTTAGCCTTCTTCGTATACGAATTGATGAAAAAAGGGCTCGTAACTTCTAGAGTAGATGATACTCGTTGAATAATAAAAGACAGTTTCAAGAAACGTGGGTCGAAAAATTAGTACGGTAAGGTAAATATGGAAAATATGTAGCTCGACTCATTAAAAATTAACACGTTGACTGCCACGAAAAACTTCAGCGATTTGTGTATCACTTATTCATTTGTAGCAAAAATAAAAAGGAATAATTGTAAATTATTTGGTATATAATCGTTAGATTATACTATGATCCAATAATTGCGTTATCAAACATTTTCATTCGATGCCAGTTGTCTTACGAATTGTAATTGTTTTCGAGTAATTTGAAAGCTCCGGTCATCGATGATCACCGTGGCAGTTAACGTGTTAATGTTCAATGCACTTTCACACACAGCGAGTTTATCACGTACACCTAACCCTCGATTTACACGGCAGATTGGTTCCCCGAAAATGCCGTGTAAATTAAAATCGTGTAATTCGAGTCCGTAATTCACATTGGAAAGAAATACACATGAAATAAATTCAACAAATCCATATGAAACAGTAATATTTACTTTTCTGTACAATAAAACACCATATACATATTTTGAAATAAGAATTCATTGATCCAACAAAATTGCATGTGTAAGTCATAAAACAAACAAAAACTTAATATAGTTTTTCCATTTGTCTAAACTGGCCGTGTCAAACTGAAATGCAAGTGCCATCTAAATTCTCTCGTTCTTTTTCAACCGTGTTAAACCGAAAATGTGTAATTCGAATGCCATGTAAATCAAGGGCTAAGTGTATACGAAAATATGAGGAAGCAAAAAAATGTGCAATGCCCACCACTAAAATATTTTGTAAAATGACAAACGTGTTTACTTTAGTATAAAATAATAAAATACTTAAGGAAAGATATATTGAAAAATCTTGTTATATATCTTTTTTAATTAGAAATAATTCTTGTAGTTCATCCTGCCATCATGTTCTGTGATTTAGTACTATATAGTTCGTTGCATCAAGGAAACTTTCGCAGACTTCGCTATCAAAACCGAGCAGCGTCACTGAAAGAAGGTTATGAGGGTGTTTAAATGTCCTGTCACAACGACTGTCCATAATCACGTTTGACTTACACGAGGTGAGAATAAGTGTCCTTGAGCTTTTGTCCCTTTGTCCGGCCGTCTGCAACGGGCAAGTGGCGTTCAAAGGCGTGAAAATTTGATTCAGGATGATCGATCGACTGATCAAACAATAAAAGAGTCTCACGAAACGACACTGTGAATGGTCACTTTGACTGTTACTGTTACTCATCAAATATCTTTTCTATGGAACCGGATTAACTAACTACGAATGACAACCGTAGAATAATATTGAAAGACATGTGTCACCATCTTGAACGTTTTATAATTCAGCTCACTGGCCAAATCGATTAACACCACTTTTCGAAATTGTTTAGATTTTATATGATATTTAATATAATGTAATTAATATAATATGATTAATATGTAATATTTAATATAACTTTTACATTAAATATGAACTCAAATACATTTAAAGGTATATTTAATATAGATTTAATCAGGACTGGGTTTCGTACCACGAAATAATTAAAAGTCTTTTGATCATGACGAACTTGCAATAATAATAAAAGTTACTTCAAAAATATTCTATTCTATTTATTTTTCAGATT